CATTTGGTTGAGCAAAGCAAAACCTATACTAGGGGATTAAAGGGAATATGTGGTGTTTTCAAATTTGTTTGAGATATACATGTTAAAGTGATATTAAACCTTTGCTGTTTTTTTAAGATGTGGAGTTATACTGAGATATACTGGTCCAGCTTTGCTGCTCATTGGACAGCGCTGATGATGTTGATTTATTATCCAGTGAACAGGCTGAAGACTTAGATGTGACACCTACCTGGCTGTGTGTAAATCACAAGACTAGCTCTATACAATTATGAATGGTTTGACAGGTAACACAGTAATTATATATTTATTTAAACTGTATAGTTAGCTGTATGACTGGAGTGCCGCTTTAATGATCAATTGTAATATATGAACATCTGGGACCCAAAGCTTTTTACTTAAATTGCACCAGTATCCATATTTTATACAAAGTCTAAAAAATACTTTTGTTAATACACTGTCCTAGCTGGTACCCCTCCTTCGGTTTTTGCAATAGGTTATATAGCAGCTCCACAGAGAACATTACTGTAAGTTTGTTCAGTGATACTAAGGGGTCTATTAATAAAAAAAATATGCATAGCTTATTCGTCCAGCAATTCTGCATGTAAATATGTTTTGTGATAGTTAACCAGTTGTTGTGAGAAAGGGGCAAAAAGGAATGTTCTTGTAATTTCTCAACTAGCCAAATTTTCCGAACTATGAGGTGAGTCAAAATCACTCAATAGATCGGGAAGTGAGCGAACAAACACATCTCGATCATCTCCCTGCAGAGAGCCGTGACTGTCAGTCAGGGATTGCCCCCCTCCCCGCTCCGATCCTCCTGTGCCAACTGGAGGAAGAGACGGGGAGGGGGCAAATACAGATAGGCAGAGCCAGCTGTCATTCACGCAGCTGGGTGGATCTCGACAGCATTGTGGGGATCCATCCCGGCTGCGGCGGTCTCAGCATACCACGAGCTGAGCTTTGGGTCACGGGAGGACGCTGGTATATGTCTTCCCGTGACCTTTAGGAAAACTATGGGGAAAAATACTTAGTGTTGCAATTATAGAGACTGCTGAAGGGAATGAGCATATAAATGTAACTATTGATACTACAGAGATAACAATGGTCATTCTCTCCAGCGTTTTCTTGAATTGTATCTCTATACTAACAAGTATTTATTTTTTCTGACCCTTAGCTCCATTTAATGGCCATATTGCAGTATTTTTCCCATTCACTCTGTTCTGTATTCATTTACCTATTGAAGAGCTTTCGACTAGAAGAGAAATTACACTAAGAGCATTTGTTTTTTACCCCATTTTCACAACAGCTGTTAAACCTGCACAGAACGGATGTACCTGCAGTCTCACTGGACGAATAAGCTATGAAAATGTTTTAAAATAGACCCCTAATTCAAAATCTGTCCAGCTCTGCATTGTGACCATAACACATTTGTTTTGCCATTTGACTTCAATGTAATGGGATCTGGCTGGTGATGGAGTTTGCAGAATGCAAACTAGAATCTACTAGGAAGATTTTGGAGGAGAGATTGAGTTGTGCTACTCACAAAGGGAAGATCTCTGTGAAGCTGTCATTTAGGTAAGTATAAGCAAAAACACTTAAGAAGGGTATACACGGGTAGATTTTTGCATGAACGTTCTCACGAAAAAGCCAGTTGGAGCGTTCGATAATGCCATCAGAGGCTTGGTGATTGTCGTTCAAAATTTAATTTGATTTTTGTTTTCCTTTAACATTTGATTTTGGAATGAATGGAATTTCCCGAACGAAAACCAAATTCACTCTTAGAATTTGGCTCAATCGAGAACAAATTTCCAACATGCTCCTTCGAATTTCTTTCATCACTGCGGTCAAAAATGATCATCGATTTGACCACATCAATGCTTAGAAAGTTGAACAAATGTTCCAAAATTGATTTTGTTTGTTCGAAATTCTAACTATGTATATCCTACTTAAGCATGGGGAGGGGACCTGGTAACAATAGTGCTGTGCATACTTGCACATTATGGTAAGAACATCTGGGGGCCAAATTACTTAGGTTCCTCTTTAAACAAGCCAATCATATTAACTTATATACAAAAGACCAGTAGAAGTTGCAATTTGTAATCTGTACTTAAAGCAACACAGCAGTTTGCCTTTCATTAAATTCTACTTAATTAAACTACATTAAACTGCTATTCCCAGCTGCATCTAGGCATGTTTCTTATTTTTCATGTGCTTGTAGAAATGTTCACAGCACACTTACAACAAAAAAGTGTTTTATTTCAAGTATCGGATGAGGCTTGATCTATTCAAGGATATGTACATTTTAAAATACTTTTTATGTTCAGTTACTGTATGTACTGTATGTACCAGTATATCTTGAATCTTGTGCAAATGATGCTGCCCAAAACAAAATCTTCTTTTATAAATGAAAGCAAACTGTGCTTGTATATCTATGTCAGACTCAGCATGGGACGAAGCCTTTCTCACATGTTTTGTCCGAGGTGTTGCTCAATTTTATACTCAGGTGCAGAAAGAGACTGACATCTGTAATTAGTATCCATTCACACCAGCAGGAATCACTACTGCGTCGCTGATGGTGTATGCTGTGTAAGAAGCAGTGCAATGCACTGATTTTAGCGCATCACACTGTTTACCTTTTTTTTTTCTAACTTTATTGAAATGTAATTTCATTCAGTTCTATTCACCTCAGCACATTGCGATGTGGTGTAGTGTGTCTCAACATGCTGCAGTGTGGTAATCTTTTCAGAGCACACCCCCATCAAGCAAATTGTCTTGTATATCCATTAGAACTGCGATGGGCAAGGATGCCAAGCGCAGCCCAATGCATCGGGTGTGAACTGACCCTATAAGGGGGAACTTTTTTCCTTTGTAAATGACTTATATTCACTGTTACGCTTAAAGAGTCTTCTAAGAAGTAGAGGACTTCATCTTGTTCTGCATCCAGTGATGGAAGAAAACACAAAGAAATGTAAGATATATTTTTCTATGCCTTTCTTTTAGAAATAAGTGTAAGTGACAGTACCAATTATTTTTGATCTTTGGAATTGTTTGATCATTATGAAGTTATATGCATTAAGCATAATGCGTTGTTTTAGGGTGACAATCATTGCATCTGAATATCAGAACAGAAGCTTGACAAGGCCATTTCTTCCTGAACTGATCATTCAGCACTGCAATTTTCCCTATGACTGAAGTAAAATGTGTACACATGCCCTTTTTAAATTTTTTTTCTTTTTTTAAGCTTTTACTGTTCAACTTTATCAAACACATTTGTGAAATGGAGTCATTACTTCCATACCCCTTCTTAGATCTGGTCTATTAATGTAAAAGTAGCTTCCAGATCACAGGTAAATGAATCAAGTTTCATTTTTACATTGTAATACAGTTACCGTATTTTAAAAGCTATGCAGTCACCTGGCTGCTTTTGCAATGATAATAAAGCTAAAAGAATAGTAATAAATATTTGTAAATCATATCATTTTGGTAAAGGAAATGACATAGGGCAGTATCCTAATAAAACAACCAAACTGCACCCCAAAAAAACCTTTAAAGATGTATCTACCTTGTTTTATGAGTTTTATATGAATTTTATTCCACGGTCATGTGATCACACAGCCTCCTTGCTTGTCCCTCTTTCTCAGTGTGGGTGCATGTCTCTATTGCCTGAGCGAGGAGATATGTATGGCCCTTTCACATCTCCCTGCCCAGCTCTTAGCAAGCTGGGACACTCTGGCTAAAAAGGGGGTTGCATGCATACTGCAAACATTGTGCAGCAGAGCGACCATACTGTTCTGCCTGCCACCCCCCACATGACCAAAAGAGATGCAGACTGAGGCATCAGCCTCAGACTGCCTTATTAAAAGGATGGCTCTGGGCATGGCCTTAACGCTGACTATGGGACTACAGGCATGGCATCTTGTATCTCCCATCAGCAAGCTCATGGTCAAAACTGACTAAGCCAGCACAGATCTGCTTCCGCGGTCAGAATGCAGGCGGGAGATACGGGAACTGGCAAGCTCACCAAGTATTTGGTAGAAAAAGACAGTACAGTGGCCTTAATAAAAAAAAGGAATGCAAAACTTTGATATTAATTTTAAGGGTTATGTACACTTCTTCCTGTTTCCTGGGGATTGACAGCATATCATCGATTTCGCATTCGAAAAATCTAAATATTCCAATAATTACCTTAGACACCGTGCATACAAATAAGGAGATATGCCTCACATAAATGGCAGAAATATCATTAATGTACAAAAGTATTATATTACTACCGCTGAAACTAAAAAGTGACCATTAACCATATCACAAAATAATATAAACACATATGGTATGTGACACTAAATCATACAACAAATGATTTTGCTTTGTTTACATTGTCATTCAGAATAGAAACGATTTGTATGGCTTACTAACTGAAGGACCTATGTTGCAATTGATAATGAAATAATAAACTAACTGCACATTGTAATGATATCACTGAACAGATGACTATTTTTTGTACATTCTGCCGTGGCTTGAAATTCACCACTTTTCCACTAATGAATGATTCAGCATGACAAGTCATGACATAGTCTGAATACACTGGCTTTGGTTGCTCTCACAAGAATGATGGTGTGACCTATAGGGTAACAGATGTTGATGCAACTATGAACTGTACTATTAGCAGGTTACAATACAGCAGCTACAGTATATAATGACATACTAGTTCTGCAGAGGTACTTGTATCTGTTTGTCTTGTAGGCTGCATTGTATTGTTAATCAGAACAGCTAAAACTAAAGGTCATTTTTGTTCAAGACCTAGGCTGATGGTCAGCTGGAGTTATTTAAGGTCTTTTAATCCTGGGAGCTGTAGATTGTATTCGTTTAGGAATGCTTGTGAAGTATAGAGATTGATATACCATCCGTTCGTTTTATAGTGACTACTGTTATAGAAAGTGTGGCGCTTTGACAAAAGGCATAGTGAATTACGTGGATAATACAACTGAAACATGACAAGTTACAATTTAAGGCCTTTATCTGCAAATGAGCACTCTTTTAGAAATAGTCTATGAACCATATTTACAAATGCTATAGTATTTTTTTTTTTATAATTAAAAGTAACAGTTTTCTGTTCACAGTGCCAATATCTGGGTATAAGAACCTCGCTGCGTCAGTAATTTGGCATGGAGTCAGTAGCTTAATATTTACAGAAAATGTACAGATGCAACAATAAACCTGTTACAAATATATTTATAAACCCTCTGTCACACCAAGGATACAGTGGACATGCCTGGTTAAGAGCCAAACATGTCCATGCAACAGTCTCTGTGGACACAATTTCTGAGATCACTCTACTTGTTAAATCCAAAGTGGTGTAAAAATGTTCACAAGTGTCTTTAGGTTTTGTAGTATAGTGTTGGTAGTGCTTCAATCAAATAGTTTGTTCTTATCTATTGAGTACAAAATGTAAAAATAAAAGAGTATCTTGTTTGTGATCCTTTAGGTATCAACAATACAAAGTTGTCTTCTTGGACAGATCTTTTCTGAGTCCAGTTGATGCTGGTGTTCTTGTGTGGTTTTTGTTTAGTGTGTTGTATTTACTTTTGCAACATGTATGGATGGTCCTCCAAAGGATGGGAGCAGCTGCAAAAAGCTCTAAAAAGTAGTAAAAAGTGCCAACCCTGCTACATAACTCTGCAAATGACACACTCTGCTTTCAAAGTGTTTCAGTGAAATCCACAAATCTGAGTCCTCCTGCTCCAACTGTCGGTTTCTTCATTGGAAATTAGGGTTGCTGGTCTCGCTCATACTGAGATAAGACAGAAATACTGGAAAGGGCTGATATAGCAGGATACCAGACTGCGGGCAATGGATTTCCACCCCCGCTGAAATATCTATGCTCTGCTTCCTTCTGACTTTCCTTAAACCTGCCGTCAAAAGCAGCAGCAGCCCAACTGAGCGTTATATGTATCCCTCTTCACTGAAAGGAGCAAGTAAAAGAACAGCAATGCTACAGGTAAGAGATGGTCACTAGAGGGCTCCTCCTTCACTGATCTTTTGATCTCCTTTGCCTTCGGTTACTGGTACCAGGCAGTCATTGCTCTTGCTGTGTTGCTTGTGTAAAAGGGCCCTCCATTTGGCCTTGTTCTTCCTGAGGTGATTTAGCATATTTACAGATAGAGGAGTGTCTCCAGTAAATCTTGCCCACTCCACAAACAATGGCTCTGCGATGTAGGTTATGAAGCCTGTGGACAATAGATAGTAAAAAGAGTTTGTGATGTAAAATTTAGTGTATAACAATTTAAGATTTGTTCATGAAGATCTCTAGGAAGCAGTGTTTATATCTACACTATCTGCTTAACAAAATCCCACTGACATATTAACGAAATACCAACCCGCTCTATGTAAAACATGTGCTGTTCTGGGGTTCACATAACTCTCAATGAGATGGAGGAAATGTCCAAAATCCAAGATTAATCGGTGGTTCCCTCTCCACCTCTGCAAATCACTGCAGGCAGCTCTAAGTACTAACAGATGAAACTTGTACTCTCTTTCCTACTCGGCCACTAGATAGTGCTGTGACTACAGCAAGTACATGATCTGCAGAACAGTAAGAAAAAAGGCTATGCTAGGGGTCCTGCGATGCTGGGATTCACATCACTGTAAGGGACATCATAACTTATATGCCGACAACTAAATATTTTGGATGTCCGGTTTGCAAGTGGGATTTTACATACATATTGAAGACTAAGCAGGTACAAACAATTTTGACTTCGATATATTTGCAAATATTTACGGCATGATCATGCAAAACATATACTGCTTTGTGGAATTGTTGCATTTTGTTTAAGGATTCAACTATATAGCTGCTACTTTTTCTAAAAAAAAAGGTCTTCCAACTGCATCCTTTACGTTCCTGCCCAGTTGTACTAAATCCTATTTTACTAGTCAGGCTGTTAAAATATCGGTCATGAGTTGACTATACTAACAACGGTACATAGATATTAAAAACACTGTTATTGTAACTTTACAGGTCATTTTAGTAGCTCTTTAGGTCCTAGTTACACTTGAACAATTTTGGTGCGGTTTAATGAATGTGAAACTCTGCACAAAGTACATGATAACGTATGTGTCATTTCAGCCAATGGTGCTGTTTACATCTCTGCATTTTCATCCAGAATATTTTTTAATTCTGCAAGCAGAATTTTTAAAATAAAGCGCATCTGCTATAGATGTAAATTACACTACACTAAAAGGGTTTAAAGTTTACCTTTCGGACCATGTTTCATGATACACCCATATTTAGGATGTGACAAGAAACATGCTCAAATCACAAACCCCTCACCCCCCTCCTGCCCCCCTAGTTACCTGAATCTTATTAATCTGCTCCTTTTTGAACTTGAAGTCACCCATCGTTATCCATCACAGTTGCTTTGATAGAATCTGTGAATGGAGAATCCACCACGGCAGAGGGACTTGTACTTCTCATTTAAATACAAGTGTGGTGACCTCATTTTATCAAATCAAAAGTTTTTATTGTTTTACAGTATAAAACACTTATTGAAGAGTATCAACAAAAGAGCATAGCAAGCAGTATGGCAGTGGATGTTACATATAATATCACTACAGCATGGGTAGTATAGCACATAGATGTAATGTGCAAGTGGTGACATGCATATGGTTTGGACCTTCACACCCGGAAGTGCCAGGTCACAATGCGGGACATGTAGAGGAGTGGAGACCATAGTAGGGCAACAGGCCCTATGGAATGGGGTAATTCTCTGTAAAGTTGTTGTTTCCGTGACGATCCCACACGTTGATGCTTGACATAAAGAACATCCACAAATAATGTAAATTAAGCCCAAGGGGGGGGCAACTTTAAGGAAATAGTGTGGTGACCTAATTTGAATGTACCCTTTCTACCTAGAAAACACACACCTCATGTATGAACACATGAAAATTTATTTGAACTGTATCCTAAGTTCTAAAGAGCAACTCTAAGGTAATCATTTAGTTAACTGAAATGTTATCCACAGTTGGAAAGACTGACATTATGTTAACGTAAAAAAGTCTGTTCAGTTTTATTACCTTGAGTATGAATTGCAGCCAGATTGAGCAGTGCATTGAGAGTGTCTCAGGACAGGACTGCATCTTACTAGGCATAGTGTGCTGTGTACCAAGCCTACCTTTTGGGTCTACCAGTCCTTGGGCATAATGATTCTAGGCGATTATATTGGCTGCAGATCAGTGGTGTAAACATATTCTTTCTGAATGATCAGTGGCATAACTATTTAGAACAACGTTTCTCTGCAGCATGCTTTAATGTAGCTCATGTGTATGTTTTCAGTGAGTATGTTTCGTTTCATGAGTATTTGCGGGTTAAGGAACAGAGGTTCTTGGACACTGCTGAACAGAGGTTCTTGGACACTGCTGAACACTGACAGTCTGCAGACAAGTGTCCTGAAATGTAAAAATATAAATACATTTGATGTCTCCCTGAATAGTATCTTTAAAAGATCAGTTCGACCGAAACTCGCATTTTACATTTTTGGTAAAGGGATAGTTAAACTTCCAGACAGTCTCTTATGTTGCTTAATGACTAATGTTGAGATTTCTTCGTTTGAGTTCCTGGGTCAACCCACCCACTGTGTCTATTAGGATGGGATACTTCTCTCCCTGATGCATTTTCAATTTATTTTATATTATAGAGAATTCACCAGAAGGAAATTGAACATGGAAAAGCTTTCTAAGCTCCATGTATAGTTAAAATATCACTGGGTGGACTGGTCTATGAATCCTTTCATGAGGTGGAATACCGCTCCTTATAAAATTACCTAAACAATATAATATTAAAATAATTATATTCATGTTTTACACACACACACACACACACCTGTGAATAGTTGATTTTGAACTTACAGGAATAATCTCAGACATTTCACTGCTTTCAGTACCATACTTACATCTGCTCTGCACCCTGCCAAATCCCCTTAAACATAGATGATATCAATATTTTGTTTATGTATGTTAGGAAGTGACTCTACTAGACTTCATAATCAATCTTTAACTGAATAGGGTATTCGTTTTAAAGACAGTTCTGCATAAATGTATCACTACACTGGGAGAACTGAAGTATTCAACATTTAATTCTTTGTCCGTCCTGCCGTTGTCTCCTTCCTCTAGTGATCCTGGTAGTCGCGTTATAGAATATATTATACATCACTGAAAGTCTAAATAATGTCCACATATTACCAGAAAACAGCCAATATCAATTCATTCTGGAGGCTTTTGGGTAAAAAGGAAACAAATACCGGTAGTACTATTACAGCAAAATTCTCCAACAAGTGGAAATGAACTTGGCACACTCACCAACTTGTATGCTAGGTATTGAGTCTTTTTGTTGGCTGCAAAGCGGGCTTATTTCCAGACCAAATTTCCGCTCAAGATCTCCTATGAGACACATACAAAAGCAAACTTAATTTCCAGACACTAGATAATGGCAAAAATAAAATTCAATAGTTATATAACAGAAAACTACTTCTTTCCTGGTTTTGTGTTGTAATTAAGCAGACCTAGTCTCCACACTGTTTATCTCCACATATGAAAAGCTTCATTCACAAGGCTTTAGCACAAGGACTGTGTTAGTCTTGCAAATTGGGCCTCTTATGTTTAAATTAAGACCTAAGCTTGCCACAAATATACTCTGATATGCTGAACCCAGGACAGCAAACCCCCTCTCACCACCCCCAAACAATGACATTAATTTCAGGTGGAGGTGATCTTTTCCTATGTTTTAATTTGGACCTAATATAACAATTTAACAGAAAATGTAATTTGAAATTCTATGTGTGAGCTATATAGGACCCGATTTTTGAGGGGCCAATATAATCACATAAAACTGGACAACCACCCAAGGCATAAAAACCATAGAAAACAATGCATTTTGCCTTATCAGGAGAACCCAAGAAATGTTCCAGCAGGTTTGTAATAACTCTTATCAATGTTTTCCCTATGTGTATTGGTGTATCTGTTACAAAGGTCAGGTTAACCTTCCTCAGCCCTGTTCATAGAAGGTTTGCATAAGAAAAGTTCTCATGCATATATGATTACTAACTCCATAAATATATTTTTTGAGTTGGGACTCTTGCACTCTACAGAACATATAGAAGGTTGTTCACTAAAGGGTGAAGAGTTTGGAAAAGATAGGAGAAGTGAACAATCTAGGACAACATAGCTAAACTGGATAGTGAGGTGAATTGGAGAATTTTTCAAAATCAGCTATTTTGGCCTAGATTGTTCACTTCTCCTGCCTTCTCCAAACTCTTCACCCTTCAGTGAATAACCCTGATAATTTTAGCGTCACGACTCCTGCACTCTACAGAACATATATTTTTGGTGTCAGGACTCTTGCACTCTACAGATCATATATTGCTGGAGTTAGGACTCCTGCAACCTACAGAACATATATTTTGGTGTTAAGACTCTTGCACTCCACAAAACATATATTTCTGGAGTTAGGACTCTTGCACTCTACAGATCATATATTTTTGGTGTCAGGACTCCTGCACTGTACGGAACATATATTTTTGCAGTCAGGACTCCTGCACCCTATAGAACATATATTTTTGGTGCCAGAACTCCTGCACTCTACACAACATATTTTTTGCAGTTAGGACTCCTGAACTCTACAGAACATGTTTTTCAGGAGTTAGGACTCCTGCACTCTACACAGCATATATTTTTGTTAGGGATGTCCTGATACCGATACTAGTATCGGCAGAGGCGTAACTAGAACCTTCAGAGCCCCGGTGCAAGAAACCATGAAGTTTTTTTGCCATGGCACCGCATGGTTAACAGGAAGGCTGCCGAGTTCCCCAGCAATTTTAGTGTGGTGTTCTGTCGAGAACGCCGACCCAGTATCTGCGCTTACGTACAGACGGGATTTACCGAGGAAACCGGCATTTATTTACATAGTATTAGTTTGTAATGGTTAATTGTGACCGTTAATAATATACCGTCCTTGGCAGTAAATGATGGAATATTAACGGTCACAATTAACAATTTAAACTAAATACTTTGTGAATAAATCCCGGTTTCCTCGATAATACTGGTCTGTGCGCAAGCGCAGATGCTGAGGTCGGCAAATTCGACTACATTGGCGTTCTCGACAGAACACCGGTATCTGCGTTTAGTATCGGGTCATTTTCATGAGTATAAGTACTTGTGAAAATGGCCAGTATTGGCACTGGTGTATCCCTACTTAAAAATATAATGCATTGCTGGGACTTGTAGTCCTACATAGTTGGTGCTACCACCAGCTATGCGGGACTACAAGTCCCAGCAATACATTATAATAAGTCAGCTATGCAGAATACCCCTAGCACCCCCCCCCACTATAATGCATTGCTGGGACTTGTAGTCCTACATAGTTGGAGCTATTCTGCATTGCTATATAATCACCATACAGCAATGCAGAATACCACCAGCCATGCTGGTGACAGCCTCTCCCATCCCTGCTGCACAGCTGCCCATACATGAGGCTGTACGGTAGGGAAGGAGCGGCACTCCCCGGGGGGGCCCTCTTCTTTCCTCGCTGGTCCCCCCCCAAGTGGCGGAAAGCCAGGGCCCAGTCGCAATTGCAACCGCTGCAACCCTGGTAGTTCCGCCAGTGAGTATCGGTATCGGGGCAAATACCAGGCATTTTCAGGAGTACTTGTACTCCTGAAAATGCCCTGATTCAGTGGCGGACCTAAGGAACAAAGGGCCCTGGTGCAAGATTTTTTTTTGGGCCCCCCCCCAAAAAAAACGCAGCGCTTGGCCGGTTCTCACTTTCTATCCTCCCCACCTCGGACACAGAACAGCGCCCAGCAGGGAGGAAAGAAAGCAGGGATGCTTTGCTGTATTGGCAGAAAAATTGCATTATTGCTCTCACTGCGACGTTCGAGGCGATATGTAACATGTTCAGCACAATTGTCGTTTTTCGAACGTAGGCGATACGGGCGGGGGACTTAAACATTTTTTCCCCATTTTTTTCATTTTTTTTTATGTTACATTCATTTTTAAACACTTTTTTTTTTGTACACTAACCCTATTGGTATTACATAGTGGACTAACAAGCACCCTGTGTAATAGAAGATAGGGTGTGACAGGTCCTCTTTATGGAGGCATCAGGGGTCTTTTAGACCCCTAATGTCACCTAGAGACCCCAAACAAGCTGAGGAAGCCGAGATCTGCTTTCCCAGCTTCTTGTCCTAGCTCTGAGAGCCGGAGACTGTGTACAGTGATACCGGAAGTGATGTAATACACAGCACTTCCTGGTCCAGTGATCGGAGGAGGGATCAGCGGCTGGAAGCGGCTGAATCTCTCTCTGATCATTGCGGGGAGACCCACCGACCCAGTGGCCATTGCGGGGTACCACACGGTACAAACGATCCGGCGGCTGTTCAGACACCAGATCGATTGTAAGTTACACAGCAACCGCCTGCTGTTAAAAGCAGTACCAAGAGCACGGCTGCCGTAGCAGCCGTGTTCTTGTTTTACCCACTTCTGCAGGCCGCCGTCTATAGACATACTGCGGCCCGGAAGTGGTTAAAGTGACATTAAGTAAATGTTTTCCCCCTCCCCTTCCCGGAGCAGAGACTGGGGGCCCGCCGGCCGCTGGATACAGAGCTATCCAGCGGCCGGCAACTGTGCTGGGCCCCCCCAAAGGCTGAGGCCCCGGTGCTCTTGCACCGGCGGTAGTTCCGCCACTGGGCACAGCCATGGACAGCCCCTCACACAGCACAGTACAGCCCCGAACACCCGTCCGATCAACTGAGAGCCCTGCAGAGATCCACATGCCGCCCAGCTGAGACTGCAGCCTTCTGCCCTCTGGTGGTATGTAATGTGCTGCTGTGGGATTTATTGTGCAGATGCTGTGGGATTTATTGTGCAGATGCTGTGAGATTTATTGTGCAGATGCTGTGAGATCTATTGTGCAGATGCTGTGGGATTTATTGTGCAGATGCTGTGGGATTTATTGTGCAGATGTGGTGGGATGTATTATTGTGCTCCGGGATCTATTGTGCTCTGCTGGGATTTATTGTGCTGCGGTGGTGGGATGTATTGTGCTCTGCTGGGATGTATTGTGCTTTTGGGGACATCTGTATTTAGCCCGGGTGAGAAACTGCCCTAAAATCATTAGTCTGTGTTGTTTTAGAAAAAATTTCACATGTGCCTTGAACAAAAAGGATCGGTAATTGGTATCGGCAAGTACCTGAGGGCAAGTACTTGTACTTGGTCTTAAAAAAGTTCTATCGGGACATCCCTAATTTTTGGTGTCAGGACTCCTGCACTCTACAGAACATGTATTTTTGGAGTTAGGACTCTTGCACTGTAAAAAGCATATATTGTTGGAGTTAGGACTCCTGCACTCTGCAGAACATATATTTTTGGAGTTAGGACTTTTTCACTCTACACATCATATATTTTAGGAGTTAGGACTCCTGCGCTCTACACAACATATATTTTCGAAGTTAGGACTCCTGCAATCTACAGATCATATATTCTGTAGTTAGGACTCCTGCACTCTACAAAACAGATATGTTGTGCTGGCATTTCTAAAATATAATTTAAGGACACACATGCACACATATTGATATGCACATTGAGGCAAAAATACATACCATATGCCACCTTGTATTTTCCATTTATACATGTTTAAAATGTGCCCCATAAAAATGTTCGTCTTGCATGATCATTTATGTCAGTTCTTGGATGCTAAAACAACCAGTGTTTTCCAAATAACATAGCAATGAAATGCGAGTAAAAGAAAAACAGCAGAGCTATATATCAGGATGTGGAGCAAGAACAGGAAGAGGGATAGTGCACTGAGGCAGGAGGGGCCGGTAAGCTTAGATGGCTCCATACAAGGATATGGAAAGCTTGAGGCTCAGAGCAATGGGTACACTAAATCTCCAAGTCTGCAATGAGCAGCCTATATTTCCTAACTCCTACTCCATTACAGAAATGATTACACAAACAGGCTAATTAACTTTTAATTTGCTAACTGATTTGGGGCCTTAGCCTTGTCCTGAGCGGATATTTTAACCTTAGTTTAAATAAACAGCTGAAAGGCATTGGCTTAGCCCAGTGCTGCTGGACTGTCTTAATTTTCTGGCAATAGCTGACCTTGTCTGTAGAATTCTTCACAGACTCTCTCACTCCACTGCTTGCTTAACTCCCACACACGACAAGGATTGCAGATATCAGCACACTTCAGGGCAATCTGCAAAACATAAAGAGTATAGGCATAAAGACAATGGTTGTGCTATTCACTTGTACAGTTATCGTATCTCAAAATTATGTCATGTGGAATTGTTTGCTAGAGGCAGCTATTGGGACCAAGTGAACCTAATCAGACAAATTCTACAGTATAACTCTCTTGAGCTCTCATGTCCATTGTCCTGTGTATTAACAACTGTTTTATAAGACTGTAATGAGGGAAGTAGTACTACCTTTTTACTTTCTATTCAAGAGTACAGCTCATGTTCGCTGTATTGCTTTGTAGATTGTTTTCTTGATGTAATTTGGTGGAACTGAAAGTAAATGCTTTCCTCAACAGAATAATGATCTGCTTGGATATTGAACAGAAACCATATAAAATGTGATCATATAATGAACATACACATCTGCCAGAAGCTATTGTTTAACAGTTTCTGTTCTCAAATAAACTGGCCATCTGATCAGCACTGAACATCTGGATCTCACAGATTTGCCTGTACAGATATATACTGTAGCTCCTAGTTGCCTGTGGCATTGGCTGATTTATCTTATTGGCTGCCTGTGGATCTCCATTAGCTCCTGGCTGTGTTCAGGTTTCATGCTGACATCACCTCCTGGCTTCTGAGTCTTTATGAGGAGGTGCAAGAGTTGCCACCTTTCCCCTGCTGCACAATGCTCACCTGGGTAGTTATTTTTGCTGGTAAGAAATGTACACTGGGCGATTACGGTAATAAATAGACAGGGGTTTAATACTGTAATGTCTGTAGTACCTCACACTCATTACTCTCTGCTGACCCTTGTATTCTGCATTACATATTAGTAACCCCCAAGCTCTATGTTACGATTGATCTCTGAACACTGCATTACTTACTACTGACCCCTGCACTGGGCATTACATACAATGGACCTCTAAACTCTGCATTAGATACTACTGCCCCCTGCATTCATACACCCTCCTCATACCTGTTCTGTCAACAGCAGGATGCTGCTATTAGCCCTGGCATTGTTCCAGCTCTATTAAAAGCAGGTGTGCTTAGTAGGGTGTCCCAGAATTTCATTTTGAAAATCAGGTCATCTTAGCTTAGTTAAGTAAATGATCTAAATATTTATTTTGTGTAAAAATGCTTTAAAAAAACTTTGACTTGAATGTATAGCCTGTAATTATATTACTAGCAGCCATGTTTGCTTACTATAAACAGTGGGGTTGATTTACTAAAGGCAAAAAGTCTGTTCGCTTTGGGGGCTTAGTGAATGGGGTGAAGCTCTGTTGACTTCCATGCATGTGATTGGAAATTCTTTGCAAAGTGAATTTTCACCTCATTCACTAAGTTAGGGGGAAATCCTCCTGCAAAGTGTAAATCCCCTTGAAAACTGAACAGTCCATTTGCCTTTAGTAAATCAACCCCCATAGCCTCTACTTTCTACTTTGCAGTATACACCGTCATTGTGATTGCGCCTTCTCACAAAGCATTCCCTAGGTAGCTGATATCTAGTCTCAACAGTTGTTGAGCACGGAAGTACAGGGAATCAAGCACAGAGCTCCTTTTTAATTGCTTTTCTAAGGCTTCTCTGCTTAATATATGCATAATATTGAAGAGTTAACATTTAAAAACATGAAGGTCCCATAAAAAATTACATTGGAATAATGCCTCTACACTATAGTCTTTCTTTAATACAATGATGACCATACACTGTGCGTTGTTCATAGCCTCATAGTACTCATACATGGTAAAGTATATATGTGTGAATCTGGCATGATATCAATGAAATAAAGATTCCTATATATAAACAGATCTGCCAGAATAAGAGATAATGCATAATATATCATAGATCCTGTGAAACCTTTTGTTTTTGGAATTAGATCTAATTATATTAGAACCACATGGATTAAGCACAAAAGATATGAAAATACAGGTTGATAAAATGTTCTATATTTTTTAAGGGAAATGTTTGAATGTATTGTAGGAAGCCATAATTTGGCATAAGCCAATATCTGTCAGAAATCAGGCTTCATGATTCATTATGGCTGACGTTCAAAGGTATATGGTTTTGAATGTGTTGAATCACCATTTTCTAGTTCCCTGGAGCAATGCACCAGTCCTATAACATTGTTCCACTAATTGCTGAACATGTGTGTGTTTTGCTTTTATTTATTTAGAAAGGGGACACGGGTATTCATATCACAGATGTTCCACAATTATTTTAAAATGTACAGCGAGAGAAGGTAATATTATGCTACAGGTACAGCCCATAAAATCCAAATAGCTCAGCATTCAACAAAATAAGAGCCTTTATACAATTTATAGTTGAGCACAATATATTTGTAGGTTTCTAATGAGTGGTATATGGGACCTTAGAATAACACAGCTGGTCTCCTCACCTTTGTATCACACACAAAGGGCTGAATGGAAGTTTAAGCCCTGAAGTATACACTAGTACATGACCTACTCTTTAGGCAGCAATGGCTTTCTTAATGCCTACCTTCATTCAGCTATTATTACCTGCAACATAAAGTGCTTGTGGTCTGCATCCGTCAAGCTGAGATCTTTGTTGTCAAGATGATCTTTAAAACGACTCAGAAACTCATTCTGGCGATTGATATCTGTTGATAATATTAAAGAGCCCAGTTGCTGCTCAATATCCTGCCTGAAAAGTTAACATGAGAAAGTTAGAGCAGCCCTGGAAAATATTGAGGCCTTTTAATTGGTTATCTATAGATTTCATCACTGCTGTCAGTTGAAACAAAATCTTTCCTGAGAGGATTATTAAGACTGTCATTGTTGAACTCCTTCTAAATATGGTAGTTGCATGGCTATCATATTGAACTTCTGGTTTCAACAGTTTGGGGGTCATTCACTTAGCTGAATAACCGAGCCGAAGTGAATTGAGACGAATACTGTTCGACTATTCACTTCAGCCTTGTGCGGCTGATTTTAGCCGTACATTGGCTAAAATCAGCCGTACATCGGCTGCCTTCGGTCTGCCGAACATGCTCTTAATGTTCAGGTGAGCCGAAGAGCAGAAGGAGTTCGACTCACCCGATCCAACATCTGGATCGGCTGAGCCGAAGCTCCAGCAGCTCACTCGCTGCCATTCGTCCCTATTCTCATAGGGGCCGAACGGCAGTAAGTGAATCGGCTCTGCTATTCTGCTCGGTACCTCCGAGGTAGTGAGCAGAATAAAAAATAGGCAGGAAAAAAAAGTTGAAAAACGAATTTAAAATGTAAAAAAAAAAATATATTTTAAATAAATACTTTAAAAACGACGCACACGGCGACGCGACAGCAGGCGCCGAGCTCCAGCCGCAGAATGAAGCATCTGACAGATGCCGGCAAAATAAAAACAATTGGGCGGAGCTAGCAGGGACAGCTAGCTCCGCCCAACTGTTTCCTATTGGCCGCCACCTGCCAGAGTTTTCTAGCAGGTTCTGGCCAATGAATAACAACTGGGCGGAGCTGGCCATGACGTCACGACTGGCTCCGACCCAGTTGTTATTGTTTAACGACAGATCAGCATCCCCAGGTCATTTGGGGATGCTGATCTGTCATTACAACTGGGCGGAACGAGCCATGAGATCACAGTTGGCTCCGCCAAGCTTTCATTTGTGTGGAGATCGGTCGGCTTCGGCCGACCTTTCTCCGCGCTTCGGCTGTTACTTCTGATATGAAAGGGGAGCTCTGATATGAATGGGGGCCATGATGTAAAGGAGGGATTCTGATGTGAAAGTAGGGTGCTCCTAGTGTGAGAGGTGAACTCTGATGTGATGGGGGGGCTTCTAATTTATAGGGGAACTCTGATATAAAGGGGGGACTCCGATGTAAAAGGAGTGGGCTTCTAATGTAAAGGGGGACTCTGATGTGAAGGGGGGCTCCCGATTTGAAGGGGGACTCTGACATTGAGGAACCTCATTGTTTTTGACTGGGTCCCCTCTTAAACCCTTACCTAGGACAAGGTTCTGATATGAATTTGGAGGGGCCACAGGTCATTTTTTTACATTTTAGACTGGGGTGCCTTAAAATTTTGCATACTTTTAAAGGGTGCCATGACTGAAAAAAAGTTTAGAAACGCTGCTATAAACTTTTATAGACAACATTTTTGGAATGCAGTCATGCCTATGAAATTGGTGTGACTAAGGATATGTTCTGAATGAAAACAACATCTATATTGAATGCTTTGTGTGAGCAAATTAATTGAAGACACCCTTAGAATAGAGATGAAGAATTACATAGGTCATTCTTTGCCATGCTTGGATGAGATGACTATGTTTTAAGAACTGATTTTAAATTCTAACTCTGATAACACATATTAGGAGTGGTCCTCTAGAATTATACATAACTTACGTAATTTCCTTAGACAGATGTGCTAAAAGCCTAGATTCTCTCAACATGCCAATAGTCGACCTCCAATGGTGGTTCTCTAAAACAGATGTGTTCTGAAAAAAGGAAAACAAAATAATTAATTCACAATTAGGGCAACAGACTAAGCCACCGCCATTCTAAACTAATCTAGTTTGTTTATGCAGTGCAGATTTAACGTTGTCAAACCTCTCAGTTGGTGTTTCAAATAGTTGGTTCCCTGTCCATGCTTATATTGTAAAGCGCTGCGCAAACTGTTGGCGCTATGTAAATCCTATATAATAATAATGAGCATTCATTCCTTGTACAGTACTCATTTACACTATATGTGAAATAATCAGCCCAACTTTATTGTGCCACCATCATGCATCCCTAATGACTCTTGATGGAGAAAGGGTAGGTGTGACATGAGTTCTGCATCTAATACAGAAATCAGTGCAACAATATGCCTCTCTACACTTTTAAAGTGATTGCTAATTGTTAGTTAAACTGCAATACTTGGCCTTTTCTAGATGGCTCATTTCAATTTTAACATAACACAGCATATTGTGTATAAGAAGCAACCAAATGGTAGAGATTCCTAAAAAAGTGATTGCTTACTTCTTGAGTGGACATTTTCAACTAAGTAAAGCACAAGGAATATAATATAAGAAAGAACGCAGAAAAAAATAGTTTCTCTTCTCTCACCTGGTACAGACTGGCAAGATGATGTTTAGTTTTTATCAGAAATGGTTGATTTACGCCTGGATGGTCCACATCATGTGCTGCTGCTGCCAGCAGGCCAAGCATTATATCCAGAGGAGTGAGATAGCTGGCAAGCTGTGAGAAACAAGCAGATCTTAATTTTTCTACAAAATGAGAAAAAGAAAACTACTCCTGATAAAGCATAACTAAAGCCGAAACTGGTAAATCCAGTGCCTTGCCATGTATATTTGTGTGCACAATGCCCCTAATAAACAGGGACCTCTGCACAGTGACACAGTGCACACCCAGCTTGCCATCACAGAGCAGGCAGCAATACAGCAAGCTTTAGCAGCTTCCCACCCCATGATCAGGAAGTGGTTGATGAGGGGAAAGCGAATTGCAGGCAGCAGAGCACAGAGCTGCCCTCTGCCTCCCTCCCTGGTAAGTGTCAGTCTGTACACTCATCATAGGGAACCTGCTAGCTGCCTCCTTAGTGTTCCCCTTTTCTTAGCTAGGAAGAGGGAAGACAAAAGAGAGGAGGCAGCTTCCTCCAGCAAAGTCTTCCTCAGTCTATACAGACATTTATCAGAAGCCTGATGTGCAGATCTGTGCCTGGTAAGACCAGGCGCAGATCTGCGGCTAATATCTGTGCTACATTGTCACCTACATATTAGTTTATGGGCCGGCGAAAACTGTGGCATTCCTATGAAAAATTGCAGTATGAAATCTTCCAGTTGCTGACACGTCTCAAATCCTGTTTCATACAGACACTGTTGTTTGATTAGTGCATATCAAGTGTGCATCGGAACAACAGTAGTTTTTTGGGCCCAGCAATGAAACAGATGGGAAACCTTCTAATAGAGACTCCTGTTCCAGTAACAATTGAGGCATGTTCGGTTCCTTAGCTAAGCAAAATGGTGGAGGATAATATTTTTGAATAATAAATACCATTTTGGAACTAATATTCTCACATACAGTATGTGTATATATGTGTACTCACAGCACCCCCTATTTCAGCTGTCACAAGCTGCACAGAATCGAGCACAATGCAGTTGCTCGATATTCTGTGTTGGAGGGCAGATTTCATTAGCCCCTGTATGATAGTATTAAAGTTAAGTGGACAAAAAAAACCATGAAATAAAGTAAAAAATATTAAAATTAAAAGTGATAAAAAAAAGTAAAAACTAATAAAATAAAAATTAAAAAGTGATAAAGTAAAAAATAATGACATAAAAGTTAAAAATGTATAAAACAGTAAAAAAATAACAAATTTAAAAGTGATGGACAAGTAAAAAATAAAATGATTAAGTGATAAAGTAAAACACAAAAGGAAAAATTAAAACCAACCCCCGGCCCTGCCGCCATCTACATGTCAATAAGCAGTGCTCTCTAACACTCACAATGTGCATTAAAGGGTAAGTTCACTTTCCCAATTAATTTGGGAAAATAGAAATAATCACTAAAATCTGGCCAACCCTAACCCCCTCTCCCCACATTCCCTCCCCCAGCGCTATATTTACCTTTCGGTGCACGGTCCTTCCCCTCCGCCAGTACGGGTGTACTATCTGTACCCCATACTGCCGCCCAGCAAAACACTGCCGTATGGATTTTGAATTTTGCTCGCAAATTGCGAGCACACGTTGGTCAGCGCGGTCAGGTGACCACGCTGACTAATGAGAAACGCTTCTTCGCATGGTTAAAATTATTTTTTGTATCAGGACAAGTAGACTGTCATGAGGGACAAGTAGATTGGTCCCCCTCTTACTCCTTGGACAAGTAGTTTATTTTTTAAATTTCCACACCCCTGTAGAATTATACAAAGTAAAAAGTAATACAGCCACTCTGAGACCCAGGGCTGGATTGGACTTCTGGCCAAGTGGTTCCAAGGGCCTGTTATATTTGCAGTGACTCCCAGTGTCTCCTACAATAGGCAAGGATCCTAATACACTTAACAGTCTGGCTCTTAATGGACATGCATTGTTATTATCATTCATGACATAGACTAGAAGATACTGCCAGGGACAATTACATTTCATCTCTTTTTTAAAGTGATGTTTAATGTAACACAGTTGTACATCTTTTTTTACTTAATGTGCATTGTTTTTTTAATAAAACGACACCATAATTAACATCTCCCTCGTAGGCATAGCTTGCTGGCAAATATGAGATCTCCCAGTGTAAATGCATCTCTTATTGTACTCTTCCTGGGAAAGAAGGTCTTTTTTAGAATGACCCTTCACAGTATGGTGCATTAAAACCGCAGGTAAATCCAACAAATGATTCTGAAGCAGTTCCCAGCATGGTGGAAGACACAGTTCAGAGGACACTTTTTCACTGTACTGAATAGAAACTACATGTAAACTTCAGCAAGATTATTTATTTTCTCCAGCACAGTACTGCTCCATTGTTAGCAAGCTGGAATTTTTAAATGAAAATTGGTTTGCATCCCTTCTAAGCAGGCTAGAGAAAACTGTTCATAGGCACAATATGAGATTTGGAGTCCCTGGGAATGAAGTAAGAAAACGATCCAATTAAATGTTAACAAGAGATTATTGTTATAAAGATTTTGAAAATAAACTGGTATGAAATTGACATCTCCTAGAAAAAAAGTTTACCATACCTTTGGCTCTTTTAAATAGCAGTGCATAGCTTGTGTGACATCTGCAGCATGGACAGCATTGTGATATGGGTTTTGGCTATGGTAGTCTTCTTGGACCATAACTGAAAATGATAAGTCACAATTCGGTGAACAATTATACAAATGATTGAATCGTATTCATTTAAAGAAACATGTTAAACAAGAAATGCTTTTCAAATGCTTTGAAAATATTCCTCTATGAATGTCCCACATTAGATTCATAGTGCTGGGGTTCAGTGGCGGAATGGCACAGGGGGGCCCAGTCAGGAGAAGGAACAAAGGGGTCCCCCTGATGCTGTGCAGGCTGCCTGGGTCGCTATGGCATTGCAGGCTGTCACTGGCGGCTGGGAGGAGGAACGCGCCGCTGTCCAACCTGTCAGTTATCTGTGCAGTGGCGCATTCCTCCTCACAGCCGCTGCAGAGTCAGTGACAGCCAGCAGCTGCAGTGGAGGAGGCCTGGGAGGAAGTGGAGGAGGAGGTAGAGGCCAGGCCCAGCCTGGAGGAGGGTGGGCCTGCCGGCAACCACGGAGGAGGCAGGGCCCGACGGTGGAGGAGGCTGACAGCGGATCGGGGCTGATGAGTAAGAGGTGTGCAGGGGTGTGACCAGCCCACCTGAGACCCAGTTCTATCCAATACATACATGTATGAATAGACACTGTCCATGCATCAGACGTTAGATGAAGTCATGCTCCAAATTGTTGTGTATATATACACTTGAGGTTTTGTCACTCAGCACATGGTTGACTATGTTTAAAAGTATGCCTGTGGCTTTTTTAAACTTTGATTTTTATACAAGTCAATGTTTATTATTTGAAATAGTAAAACTCCGGGATACTCAGGCACTATAAATATTCTGCTGAAGGAAATGAAGCACTATGGATCATAATGATGGGTCTTGAGCTCTGAGATCATTGTTATTTAAAAGTAGAGATGCTCTCAAAATGAAAAATTCATTCTTTTGGTGTCTTGTAATGAGGCTTACAAACTAAGACAATGTAACCAGGCTTTCTTGGAACCCAAGACCCATAAAAGACAAATCCACAAAAATGTATTTTAAGTTTTGGGTAGACACCAATAGGTTCAGTCACTCACCAGCCAGTTACGCTCCAGTTAAAAATGAAAATTAACCTTCAAAATTCACATAGGGAGCACAGATCAGGCTTGGGATGTCAATTGAGATACTGCTTAAATACATAGTTACATAGTTAGGTTGAAAAAAGACAGAGGTCCATCAAATTCAACCAATAGAGAAAAACAAAAACAATTATAAATAAATAGAAAACCTCCATAAACAAAATCCTATACACAGAGTTGATCCAGAGGACGGCAAAAAAAACCTAATAAAGCATAGTCCAATTTGCTCCAACAGGGGAGAAAATCAAATTCTTCCTGATCACCTAAGACATTCAGATATTCCCTGGATCAACAATCTTTGGTGTTTTTACTAGAGGTGCACAAAAATGAAATTTTTAAACTGAAAATAAAAAAATGTCAGGTTGAAAACATAAATTATTTTTTTTTCTAACCTTTTCAATTTTTTTAATATTTTATTTTTCCTTAGTTATCTCTTTCTAAACTTTAATTTTTTTATATTTTATTTTTCCTTAGTTATCTCTTTCTAAACTTTAATTTTTTTATATATTATTTTTATTTATTGTTTTTTTAATAAATATTTTAATTTTTTTAACTTTACTGGGCAGAAATTTTTTCCTTTTAAAATAGAAAAAGAGATTGAGGACACAGAGCAATACTTTTGGCATTTTGCCAAAGATGGTACTTTCGGCATTTTGCCAAAAGTGTCATTTTCGGTCGATATGTTTTGGCAGCCAAAATTTCGGTGCATCCCTAATTTTTACTTATAATTGTAATATTTAATTATATTCTGAGCATTTACAAGATTTAACAAATACCTGTGCTGATTAGGACTAGTTCCTCAGGAAGCATATTCCACATTTTTACAGCTCTTACTGGGAAGAAGCCTTCCTGCATACAAAGATTAAACCTCTTTTCCTCCAGACGCAAAGAGTGCCCCCTTGTCCTTCACAATGATTTTAAGGTGAATAATATTGCACCAAGCTCACTATATGGACCGTTTATGTATTTATACATGGTAGGGATGCACAGATACCAAGTACTGTACTTGGTAGGGTGATACCGGCATTTTGGTATCGAGTACCGATATTTTTTTTACGGTACTCGCTGAAGCCGGGCGGCGTGTAGTGACTCGTAGCCCAGCTTCCTGATTAGCCGGGTCACCTGGTGACGAGGGAGCATGGAGACAGCTTTCTGGCCACTCAGGAAGCCGGGGGGGTGGGTAAGGACTCTCCGCTCGGCTTCCTGATTGGCCAGCTTTCCAACCAATCAGGAAGCTGGCTGGCGGGTCACTAGTTGAAGAGGAACCATGGAGCTGGCTTTCTGGCCAATCAGTAAGCCGGTGGGCGAGTCATTACCCGTATCATTACCTCTGAATTTCCAGTATCGGGATAGGCATCAGGAGCATTTGGTCGAGTACGAGTACTTGCCCAAATACTCGGTATTGGCTCAGATACCGATACTGATATCGGTGCATCCCTAGTACTCGGTGCAAGTACAGATACTTTTCCAGCTACTACACTAGAGAAAAACCCAAAAGTTAGGAGGCAGCTGTCATTTTTAGGGAGCATTGGCTATGGGGCTCCCAGGATTTGTGCATCCCTGTTTTAATATATGATTTATGATATATCTACATACACAGTATATATTAGGGATGCACTGATACCATTTTTTCCAGACCAAGTACAAGTACTGATACTTGTCCAAGTACTCACAGATACAATTACTGATACATTTTTGTTTATTGTCATGTGACAGTTTTTCTATAACAATACAGACTAATGATTTCAGGTCAGTGGTGGAGTGCCAAGGCACTGGTATCTGTGCATCCCTAAAAAATGCTGATCATATTCCCCCTTAATCGCCAGCTAATCTTTCCTCATAACTTAGCTTCTACATGCCTCTTATCAGTTTAGTTGCTTCTGGAAGTAGACCACATGTGAGGAACAGTCTTAGGCCTGGCTGTGTTATAGAGGACTCAGATAAAAGTAAACAGAATAACATTTCTGACGTTAGCACAATTGCAACATTTTCTGGATAGCACTGACAGTTCATTGATTGATTTGTCTTTTTGCTAGATATAGCTATGCCCCGAGCTATGACCATAACAGACATGACTTCTGTATGCAGGGCAAATTGGTCAACACTAATCACAATATGTTACTGAATATATTATTACCAATGGGAAATCAGGCGATAGGTGTCCATTATGGTGGTGGGGGGTCTCAAGGGAAAGACGTTCCTATTTCTTAGTTCTTTACAATGTTTGTAGTTGGTTTGTTCAGCAGCTAGGCTAGTAGACTGGGTATGTATCATTTCTTTATGATAGTTCAATTTAAATGGCTTAGCAAGATTAGTAGAAAAACATTAGTTATAATATCAGAAGACCTAAAAAAAACATGCACGCTACATACGTAGGGTTTGGTATTTCTTGATAGTCTCCAATGTTCCCAACACATTTGGGAAGTGTTCTTTTATAATACCCTCTTCAATACCCAGCTATACTAATAAGAAGGGTGTACTGTGTTTTATACAGGTGCCTAGTAAACAGTATTTAAACAATAAGATGTAGTCTTACCAAGAAATCTGTGCAACTTCACCATGTCAAGCTGAAAATGATGGATAAGCCCGTGAACGTTAAATAAATGACACAGCAATGTAACTAAGCTGTTACCTGTAGAACAAGAAACAGACAGATATTGTAACTCACAGGAAGCAAAGTAATTCAATACAAATAACTGTTTTGCAATTTTGCATTACACAGACATATATATA